TTACATTTACTGTTTCTGCCTTGACAGCAGAATCCCGTTTAGTGTAGAGCTACAATGTGATGGGCTTGGAACCTTGGTTCTCAGTCTCCTTGAAAGCTGATTTTCCAGTGACTGCAGTGTAACAATGAAATGTAAGCAGCAGCAGTATCATAGGGGCATCTCACCTAGCATGTATGTACATTGACCACTTTCCTTCTCAGAATTTACTCAGAATTCCACCTATTATTACTATGAGTAGAAATATAGATGGATCCTGAGGCACAGCGTGATATTTAGTAACTAACATTCCAGTCTAGAACTGCATGTTGTCCTTGCTTGGCGGATGTTAGCTGAAACCATTCCTGATATACTTGGATACAGAGGCATACAGCTAATGATTCATTAATTTCTCCCACAGTTCAAAAGTAGCACAATAGCAAATGTGGGAAGTAGAGATTCACCAGATGTAACATCATTTGATTCTTCTACTTGTGCTTTCAAAAAGACCTCAAATTCTAGAAGTGAAGGTAGAACCAAAGCTGCTTCTTGGTGTGTAAAATGTACATGCCTGGGAAATTCCTGTTTTAAAAAATATTTGCAATATCAATTTCAGCCAGTTTACACTAAGTGAAAGCGGTGTAGTACTCCAAGATTCTGAGTATAAATCATGTCTGAAAGGAAACAGCTTCTTTTTCTAAGGATAGCATCTATTTTTAATAGCAAACACTATAAAATTCGGTTCTTTCATGTTAATTAAATATATAAATCATATGTAATCAGAACACGAAGCCAATTTGATGATGTTCCAGCCCAGGATCTCCAGGCCAGGATTGTCAAAGAAAAGGAGGGTAGAGTTAAGATGTTTCAGGATTCATTTCTGTGCTAGACAGCTTCGCTAAGCAGTGCAAGAATAACAAACTTCGTGATGCTCAATTGAGTCTCCCTTTACACTGACCTCAAAGACTACCTGTCTGGTATACCTGCCTTCTCCCCAGTTAACCTTCAAAACATGGAAAGTATGATCCAAGGCTCAGTTGCAGGCGGTCCCTGCCTGCCCGTGCCCTCAGCATGCTCATCCCTGCCTGCCCTTGTACTCAGCATGTGTATCCTTGGCACGGTGAGGATCTGTTCTCCTTCCCTGGATACACACTGTAAGAACCAGCATCTCACATTCCATCCTGATGCCCTGAAAATGACTTCATTTTTAAACTAGATGTGGTGGCTGTTCTTGATTGTCAAATTGACTATATCTGGAATGAACTACAACCCAAAAGTGGAGGGCACACCTGTGAAAGGTTATCTGCTTGGTTTGAAGTTGGCTAATCCACTTCTAGTCTGGACCTTTTGGGGTAAGAAGACACATGCCTGTTACCTAGATCTTGAGGTGGGAAGACACACCTTTAATTTGAGCTACACCTTCTGCTGGGAGCCTATAAGGACATGGAAGATGAGAGGCTTGGCTTTTCGCCTGCTTGCCCCTCACCTTGCTAGTACATCCATTCCAGCATATGCTGAAGACCGGTTAATACACCCAGCCTTGTATGACTGGGCAACTGTTAGATTCTTGGACTTTCTGTTAGCTTCTAGCCATTACTGGATTAATTGGACTGAAGTCTGTATGTCATTCCAAAAAATTCCCAGAGAGAGAGAGAGAGACAGACAGACAGAGACAGAGACAGACAGAGAGAGACAGAGACAGAGAGAGACGGAGAGACAGAGAGAAATTCATTCCATAAGTTCTGTGACTCTAGAGATCTCTAATACACTGACAAGGGCAAGAACTACTGTGCAATGTGAGATCTGGCCAAATATACTTGTCTTAATACTTACTTTTTAGATGCTGTACACCAACGAACCTTAGTGTACCAGGGATAGAAATTGACTCTGGGATTTTAGTCAGTTCTCTACTTTATTTTGAACCCATCTCCTAATTTCCATTGCCAAACAGATTTTCATAATCTCAGAACAACTAAATGCAAAAGACCATGAAGAGATTTGTGAGCACTAGAAAGCAGTAAATAGCCCATTTTCAGGTACCATAGAACATTCAAAGGACATGATTTTGTCATTTAGGAAGGCAGAAAGTTTCAGGTCTAAGAAGCAGATAAGGGCAGCTAAGCACACAGAGAGCCCTGGGCCATATCATTTATACGAATCTCTGGTTGCTTAGGCTCGGTTTCCTAGCACCCTGTGATAGATATGGATTTTGAAATTAATAGGTTAATCTAAGCTTAAGAAAGAAAGATATAACATGGAAAAAACAGTGATACAAAGTACGTCAGGAAACCAACCATTGAAAGAAGCACATCGCCCAGGGCAGAGAGAAGGGAAATTCTAATGCCCCAATGGTACTCTTTAACGCACTGATGCTGATTGCCAGACCAACTACAATCTGGCAATTTTAGTTTGAGATAATTCTAAATGAGAGTTTTCTGGTATTTTCCCCTACTTGCTTTTCTAGATGATTTTTTCTCACTCATCATCTTTTAAAGGATTCTATAAATAGTTTTTATGTTAAAACTTAGTTTTCTTTATGGAATAGAATAAATGGGGGTCTTATATAAAAGATCCTACCGTGTGAAATATTAGAAAATAACTTATGCAAATAATTGATAAAGTCATTTTAATTTCCACCTTGTTATCTCTGACCTAGTTTTTTTTTTGGAGTTTTTTTATGGAGCCTGATTCTCTAATTTACAGGAGAATGTTAGATTTAGAATGGATGCAAGACTATGCTGATACCTCTTCTCTTTTGTTAAACACTGACTATATTTCTTTCAAAACAAATCAAGCTAGCCAAACTCATTGTGGATATGATTTTCCTAGCAGCAAGTTTATATTTAATTAGCTTTAATAAAGAATAAAAGCAATTTTTCTATAATTATGATTCCCTAAGAGCGTCTGTATCAAGGAAGACAGAAAAGAAAGCTGTCTTAAGTTCTGCTGTGCTGTTACTACACCCAATTCAAGCAAATGAAGCAGAGGTTAGTCTTTACAGACTAGTGCAGGAGGGAATTTGCACCCCACTTTTTGATTTCCTATAGCACACTTGCCTGCAAACGCTTCCCTAAAGACTGGTCACCGTGAGTCACCTCAACTCACATGACACAATATTCATCTATGATGAAAAGTGTCCCGATTGCACAGATGCCTTTTATAGAATATATAAAGATCTAAATGAAAGCAATTTAGGATTGTGAAGTGGTTGCCATTTACAGGTACTTAAGAGATTTTTCATGGACAATGATTAGAATAATAAACAAATGATGACAGCCAAACCTAAAGACTGGTTTCTATAAGACACCCACGTGCTGACACATCCTGGTACAATGCATATGCACCCATGACATAACTGCAGGATAAATGCTGGCAGTAGAGTATTTAGATCAGACCCCTCAGAAGACAGTAATAAGTTAGAGATGGAAGACCAGCTCTCCAGAGAGTGCACATATTCATTCTGATCTTCAATGATTTGTTCATTCTGAGGTGTTTGTGTATGCACACCCCAGTGACTTATACATAAAATTACAATAGAAAAGCTATTTTAGAAATTAAATATTTAGAAAAATTATTTAGAATTTAAACCAGACCATCAGAAACCTGAACCACATATGCTTACAAAGACCATCATATGAAACACTCTGTGTGACACTTGAGTACTATTCTTTGCGGGTAGATGTTAGATTACTAAATTGGTTGCCTTTATCTTTTTTGAGTATTGCTGCTAAAAAATTGTTCATCATTGTTACTAAGTTGATATCTAGCCTTATATTTCTACTTACCTTGGTCTTCGTTTTAGCTATCTGGTATCTTTATAAATATGCAAAAATAGCTCATTTTGTTGTACTTCTTTTGTGAAACATTTTACTATGATTGGGCAGTTTGGAGGAAGAGAAGGCAACAGAAAGATAAAAGAGCAGGTGAACCTTGGGTCCTGGACTTCCGAAGGTGTGTACTCACTAGTCTTTACTGTCAATTTATTATAATCAAGAATCACTGAGAAGGGGCAGCACTAATTGAGCGTTTATTCAGTTCCAAATAGCCTGAGGCCATGTCAGGGGAATTGTTTTGATTTGAAATTGACATAAGAGGATTCTTCCCACTGTGGTTGGTGTCACTTATGGGCAACTGAACCGGAATTGCATAAGAAGGATGGCTGAGCACAAAGTAGAAGGAGCAAGTTAGTAAGCAGCATTCCTCCATGGCTCCTATCCAAGCTTCTTTCTACAGTTCTTACTCTGACTTCCCTCAATAATGAATGGACCTGGGCACTCAAAGATGAAACAAACTCTTTCCTTCCCAAGTTGTTTGAATTGCTGTACTTATCACAGCACCAAAAGGCAACCGTGAACAGGGCACGGTGAGATCTACCCTAAAATTTTATTAGTTTCTAGCTTTTTAAAAACTCCTTTTGACAAGTCTATCCTGTGAATTACTTAACTTCTCTGAGCCTCAGTTTCATCTAAAGGGGAAAAATATAAGCAATACCTAGCAAAAGAAACAGTCTATCAAGTAATGTTAGCTTCTTATTAATATTTCTGTCAATGCATGGATTAAGTGCTTAATTAAGCTCTATGACAAATGTAAAAGCATGTGTATATACATATATATATGTGTGTATATATAATCCATACATAGGCACACAAGTGTTCTCCAACACATACACAGACACAAACACACACCTGTTTTCTTTTTTACTCTAATATCAAAACTCATCCAGAAAGTCTCCACTTATTAAATTTCAAAGAACTTCTATGTGAGCAGAGTTAGGAAACTCACCTGTCCTTCACAAAAAATGGTTTTTTAATTTTTTTGTCAAAATTGGTATGCAAAATATAATGGGAATACATCAAGAAACTGAATCATTTTATGAAGGCAGTTTGAATAATCTACGTATTTAATAGAAACATAAAAGGAATTTCTCCCTGTGAGCCCCCAACCACCCTGGTGATTTACTCAGCCTGTCTGTTACAATAATCGTCGCCAGGGTACATGGTACTCACCAATGACCTATTGCAGACAGTTAATCAAGAGCAGAGAGACCAGCTTTCACAGTACAAGTAGTTACTTGTTCTCGACTTTTTAAAGTTCATAATTCAGTCTTACTGTCATTTCTTTCCGCTTGCCGGTGCTTTTATGAAGGGTAAAGCTGAACAGAAAGAAAACCAGAGTCATTAACTGCTTGAAAGTTTAATGTGCTACCAAACCAGAATTAGATGTGATAATGAAATTTCCACTGCTGAAAGCAGTCTTCGCTAGCTGATGTATGTAGTGAGAAGGTGGTCTCATAACCAATGAAAATAAGAAAATACCTAATTTTTTTCTATTTCTCATTCAAGTTTTTGTCGACAAAGGCCAAACATCAAATTAAACTTCAGTAAGACTACTTTAAAAAGAATATGTAGTGAAATTCCTTGTTCTCTTTAGAAAATACATTGTAAACGTATAGACGTCAATCAAATCCCTTTCCATCAAGAGACATTCTGGAGCAGCAGATATGGTGTAACACTTTACATTTCTATGCTTTATTCATTTATGCTGAAGGAGCATTCCAAATCACCAGTGTCCCTTCCACAAGGCCTAACACAGGCCTAAATCCAGCATACAGGGTATATCTAAATAAAATTCCAAACTTTCTAACTACAGATGGCCCCAAATTTTGATGATTCAATTTCAATTTTCCAGTTTTACCGTGAAAGTTTCTTTTGAACTTTAACTTCGCCTTCAGGCTAGCCTTATGCAGTATGATATTCCTTAAAGATTTTGGGCAGCAACAGCAAAAAGCTCATCCTAGTTGGGGTAAAATAGCCTCTTCCCTACAAGGCACTGTTGCTAAGTGAGGTAGGATGTTCAGGGTGTTAATACATTAACTACACTTTCAACTTATTGTCAACCTACAGTTCATACCAACAGCTATATTGGGACATAATCCCACCTTAAAGCAAAGAATATCAGTACTTCAGCTTCAGTCTCTATGCTTAATATTTATTGTCAGATGGATCATGTACTATTCTCCAAATACAATACAGTCTTGCCTGCCTTTTTTGTCTTTGCATATGCCACTTTCTCACCCTAAAGTTCTGGAGCAGAATTGCTTCTACTTGCTTCCTGTCTCTAGGTACCAACTGTGTCTTTCTTCCCACTGCTTCCACTCAGGGACCGGTTATAGATCACCATCTGCTGAAATTATATTCATTTTAAATTCAGTTAACCTACCCCTTTCAAGCAAAGTTTCCTTCTTGCCCACCCCAAACTGGCCTGATCTCTTTCTCTCCTCCATCCACCAGTCACATTGATTTACATCTTCTATATCAATTTTCTTATCCTGTCGCACATAGTGACAGTTTATTCACTGTGTGATTAGTGACTGTCAGGGATTTTGGACTTTTATTTACTCCTAGTCTTCTCCTGTTCCTGTGTTTATAAGCTTCTTAGCTATCAAAGGGAGAGGGTGGAAGGTGAATGCTTATTAATCTTTATAACATTTCATTACCTAATAGGCTCATTGCACATAATGTAGGCTTGGTAAATATTTCCTGAATTGCATGACTAAACTGGGTCAGTCAGTCTCAGCTAGACGCACCTCAGTATTGCTTTTAGATTTATCAGGAGCAATGCTAATGACGCAAAAGGCAATTGTCTTTGCTGAATCATAACTGAATTTCTATCACACTAATCTTTGGAAGGTACCATTTTTTGAATTAAATACAAAACAATAACCTTTTTGTATGTTACAGTTTACATTCTCTTGGCTTCTTTCAGGCAAGAGGACATCTCTGTAAGGTGTTGACCTAAATTTCTGCTGACCTAATTTCCTTGTTGCAAACGGTTCTCAGTGCAGCCAGTCCCCACTGCGGAAAGGTTTTGTTCTACATCATTGTCAAATTTCAATGACAAATGGAATGAACTTTGTTAGTCCTTCTGAGATTTCAGAATAGCTCAGGACATTCCCTTTTATTATCTAAGAGGATTTCAGTGATTTGTCCTACTGGCTACAGAGTGTAAAGGGGCCTCCCTGTTTCCCATGCACTTATTCTAAGCTGTCAGGCATGTCCCAATGGAAGCAGTAGACACTCACTACCTGCAAATATTTTTACTGTGTAATAGCAGGAAAGGTTGCTGATGAAATGGAGATTAATACAAATGGGAAAATGGACTTACTGGGCTCTTGAGTCAGGTAAAGAAGTGTTTTCAGCACTAACAGACTGCTTTGATTCTGGTCCTGAGTATTTTCAATAAATAGAAAATAATCTCTTTTATGATTGAAATTAACATTCTCCCAATGGTACAAATATTAAAAATCCATTTCCACATTCTATTAACATTTTATTTGTGTGTATTTGTGCTTGAGAAGGATTGTGGTAAAGGAAAAGTGAGATTTAGCTCAAATACTTCAATAGCTGTAAAAAAATTATGTAACCATAAACAGGAATGGATCAAAAAATCTTTTCCTTTGGGTAGTTAAGAAAATGGAAAATCAAGTCTACTACTTTTTGAAAAGAGGGGTATACCAGATGTCTATACAAGCTTCTTTCTGTTCGAATCAAGTATTTACCTTTAGTCTTAATATGGGATATATTGATTTTGAGATTGAGAATTTCAAGAACTTACAGTGATATGGTAAAAGTCTCTCCAACTGTTTAAAATTACTAGAATTCTCTTATTTCTGATCACAGATTACAGCTCAACAATGCTATTCCAGTGTTTTCATTAAAAGCCCTTCAGGCACCACACCCTGGGCAGTCAAGAGGTGTGGTCAGAAAATGGAGAGGAAGTCAAAGAAAGCAGGTGTCTCAGGAGCTTAGATGAACTTAAGTGTAGTATGAAATACTACAAAAGGAAAGAAGAAAGCTGACAAGGAAAAGGCATACGGAAATCAACTGCAGGTCTAAAAGAGATATGGTGAGGAGTTTTTTTAATAACAACAAGATTAGACAGAATCAATGGAGAAAAGAATTGTCAAAAATCAAAACCTGTTGAATATCTTTTTGAAAAGTTCCCTGGATGTTAAAAAGAGTAAACAATAGACATTTTTTTTACTCTTTAGTAATCTGGTTATGTGAAAAGAAAGCCAAGTAAGTGTCCTTTGTCACCAAGAATCTATTGAAAACAAACAATGATCCAAGTGTCTGGAAAAGTAATGACTCAAACTGGCAAACCCATTACCAATGCATTGCTATACCATGACTAGGTTTAATAATGACCAGAGAAGCTGATAACTTAGAATTGAGAATATTACAGTAGCCCTGTGTGCCATATTAAATAAAAATGGAGTACTATTCAGCAGAAAAAAAAATGGAATCATGAGATTCGCAGGCAAATGGATGACACTAGAAGAAACCATCCTGAGTGAGGTAACCCAGTCACAAAAAGAGAAACATGGCATGTACTCTCTCATATATGGATTTTAGACATAGATCTGGGGAGTGCCAGCCTACAACCCTATGGCCAGAGAATCTGGGAAACAGAAACTTCATTTAGTGGCTGATCGAAGAAGAGGCAGACTCCCTTGGTTAAGTACTGAGCTGAACTCAAGAAAGCCAGTAACAGAGAGGGAGGACTGATGATCAAAGGGATTAAGACTGGGCTGGTTTAACCCCCAGAAACAGCTGACCAGACAAAGGTTAACTCTTGAATCCCAGGCATCAGCCTGGGAATCCAGCATGGGACTGATCAAGACCCCCTGAATCTGGGTGTCAGTGAGGAGGCCTAGGGAATCTATTGAGCCTTGGGCAGCAGATCAGTACCCATCCCAAGTATACACACGGACTTTGGACTCCCATAGAACAATGTGAGATGCACTCTCACCCTGAACTCTTGGGGAAGGGTTTAGGCTCTGCCCTATATGAAATGACAGACTATGGACACCCCCATGGAGGGCCTCCCTGGGGTAATGAGGGGATAACGGGGGGGGGGAATGGGGAGGGCATGGGAGGAGGGGAGGGAATGGGAGAGGGACCTGGAACTGACTTGTGAAGCAACCTCGTTTCTTATCTAAATTTAAACTGGAAAATTAAAAAAAAAGAAATTAGCCTGGCAAAAGTGCACATTGGAGGCAAAAATTAAATATGAAAAAAAAAGCAAAGAGGAAGACATAGAGTATAAGACCAAAAGAGGAAAAAGGGTGGAAGAAAACAGAGCAAAAAGAGGAGGGACTGCAGGTGAAGAAGAAATATGTGGGAGACAATTCTCTGTGACTGGTTCTTCAGCAGTGGGTGTTGGCATGGCTACCTACTACAGAATAGACAACTCCCTAGATAGTATTTTCTTAATAAAGAAATATCTTGGCATATTTCTGTGGGTTACAATAACAGCAGCAAGAGTATCCTCCTATGAAGCAAGAGTTGAGAAGCTACTGCCTCCGAAAGAAATTGTGTCAGTGCACAGTGACCTAGAATAGGTTACATGCATACTAGAAACTTTGTGCGAGTCTCTCAATTTTTTTGATAGCCCCTAATGAAAGAGCCCATGCAACCTCCATCTCGATGTGTATACAAGACAGTAAAACTTTCAAGATCCATGTCAGTTGATAACTGAAAACACATGTTCTCGTGTGTCCAAACTGTGGAGAAGTTGAAAGTCATTTCTTCCTATGAGACCGAGCTTTCCGTGATTGTCTACTACAGAAACTATTTGAAGAACAAATAGCCTTTGGCTGTTGGGGTTTATTGACTCAGCATTGTCACCTGGCAGCATCTCGCTCTGATCCCACTGCAACACACACCTGCTGCTCCAGGGTCTCTTAATCAAACACAGGGAAAGGAGAGCAACTTCTAAAACCCAATTTTTCTTTATCAGGAAAAAAAGATGGCAACTGAAGCAAAAGCCATGTCAAATTTAGCTTTTCATAAAGTTGGTTGAGCCTGTTTCAGCTCAGACAAACTGTTGTTGAACCTTTGCTTTCAGAAGCCGCAATGGCTTGAACAATCAGAGGGTTTGAAAAAACCCATCACTCCCACAAGGATTTGTGAAGTGTTGAACGTCTGGCATATGGGTGTTCTGAATAAAAGGATTTTGCCAGGAGTTTTGAGATCAGAGATCCACAATTAATTCTGACTGCTTGGATCAATAAAGATTGTTTTCCTTTGAAACAGAGCACCTATAAAGTTGTGTAATTTGAGGTATAGGAAAATCATTGCTGAACAAGCAAAGAGTGCTTAGCTGCCCACAGAATCCATTTGGTAATAATTTCAGCATGAAAAGTAAGACCATTATTTTGATGGGACAAATACATTTGAAAGCTATGAAAGATTACATCAGGGAAAAAATCTGCTTGAATAAAATATATTTTCAGCACAAACTTACTCAGGTGTAGTGCTATTCACAGCAGAAATGAATTTCAGTGGGAGCTCTTTCCTAACGGGAAAGTACGTGTGAGAATTCAGGTTATTTTGTCTAGCGCAGCTGCTACTTGTTCTGCAGAGGCAGGAATGCGGCTGGTGACAAGGTAGAATGGAACGTGACACCTCTGTTGGCAACCAGCCAAGAATACAGAATGTTTTAGCCAGTCTGTGGCATGTGATCCATTTCTTAATTGTTGATAACATATAATTAGGACGATCTTAGCCGAGTTTAATGAATGCAGTAAGTTAAACTGCAGTGCTTGAGTGTACTTGGATAGACTTTGTTAGTCTTGGAGCATGGAACTGCAGAGAAACATTTTATAAACAGTACAAAATGGAATCTTCCCTTTACAAACTATCAGCCTGGAATTATGGCCAACATCCTAACCCACAGTATAAATTCTGTGCACTGTATAAATGTCAACTGATACTCATGGCCAATGTGCCCAAAATAAATTTTCTCTTTGAAGATTTTTAAAGGTAAGATTTATGTGAAGAAATTGGGCACATATTTAAAAATGACAGACTACATGCTCTGCTAATCAGTTATCAACCTGATTTATTCAGACAGCTTTTTTCTCAGATAGCTAGAGCTCAGTCTGGGGATTACATGGCTATGTCTTATTTTTAATGCAATTATTTCCTTGGAAATAATTTATTATTATCTTTTCATTAAAATAGATTCCCTGAACTTATTTTTCACACCCCTATTACTTAGCGTGAAGGTGTCTTAATGTTGTCATTATAAAGGATGCTAACATCTTTATGAAGGCCATAGGTAAATTCACATTTCTTATGAAAAAGATTAATTTTTAAAATGGGAAATCCTATCAGTCTATGAAATAGCACAAGAAATTGAAAAACTGATAAATGTATTCTAGCTTTTATCTAAAACAAAACAATAAAACGAACACTTGCTTAAAGTAAGCCATGTTTGTCCATAGCACGCATAGTAGCATGCATGCTTTCCCTAATATTTTCTTTCTTTTTTGTCATTAAATTTGTTCTAATGTTATCAGAATCAATTTTCAGTTTCAGTCATCCCAAAGGAGCTGTCTTGAGTGGCGCTCTTATCGGGAAATTGTAATGAAGAATCAGCTCACAGAGCTGTTACTATGGTACTCACATATCTGAAGAAAATTTTAGTGGAAATAAAATTCCAAAGCACTAAATTTAGAGGTATTTCGTTTTCTAGTAAGAGGCATAAAAATAGCATTACTAGATACAATTTGAATTCCAAGAGGGAGATATTTATTCCTACATGATGTTCAAATGTGTACATTTTACAAAGCCAGATTCTTTCCATAGTCCCAAAGACTAATTAAAAATCATGTTACCTAAGTTTCAGTCTAGCCTTCGAAGGACAGTGCCTAAGGATGGAGACCTTTGTTTTCACTCTGGTAACGTTTTTACATGGGAATATTATCGAAGAAAGCAGGGCTATTTGGGGCTATACTTTTATGTACTAAGAAAAAAAGTAGCAACGGTATGCATTTGTGGTTACACATTAAGCTGTTTATTCTGTCTCAGAGACAGGGAGAGACATCATTGATATTAATGGTGACTAGAAATCTCAGGTAGAAAACTCTATTTTCCATTTAAAATAGTAGTATTTTGTTGTGCACAAAGCAATAAATTCTGTTTTCCAAAAGTAAGAATAGTTAAAAAGCTGAAGAAATTATGACAAAGTATATTTCTGAAATTAAATTTACTCCTTCGTATTTAATACAACTTAAATATACCTCTGCCCACTGTTTAAAATGATGTCCAATTCCTCAGGTCAGACTTCCTTCTAGAAGCACCATCCGAGAGTCTTCTGGAAGAACAAAGTTTAAAAAACTGTATTTCAATTTTTACTTCATTTAATGCTTTCTGTGATTAAGCCACCAAAAAAACAGAAAAAAACTACAATAGCTTTTCATATTTCATCACATCTGAATTTCTAGGTTTTTAAGCAAAAAGGAATTTTTAACTTTCACCAAACTTGACTCAAAACTGTTAGCAACCTTGAAATTTTCTATGAATGAGTGATGTAATGTAAATACTGAAGGTGGGACAAAGAAGGCTTTCCAGTTTTCCATATATTACCTACACATTTATAATTCATTTCTGTGTATGCCAAATTCAATAGTACAATAAAGAGAAAGGCTTGTGACTTGCTGTGTCTTGTGTACATAGGAGAGCAAGGGGTGGCTGGTTGCTTTATGTGCCCTACAAACTGTCCTTAGGAGGAGCAATTCGGAAAGCAACCTGTAACTTCAGCCTCCAAAGACCACATGTACACTTTGCACTAACACTGCAACATGCGCCCATGATCTCAGAGACTATTTTAGGAAATGTGGTTTTATATATATATATATATATATATATATATATATATATATATATATACACACACACACCTCTTTTTATCATAAATTCTGGATTTGGGAGAAATTCCAACTATAAATTGAAAGAGAACACCGAAACTTAGTGATACTACTATGATGTCAGAATAAGCAATCCCTCTTTAAACTGAGGTCTAACCTAGTACTTTTAATTATCCATTTGTACCATAAATACTATATTCTCTCACATGGTGAAAATACAGAGCTTTGTTAAAAATTTGCATCATTTTCTACACGTTTCCATTTTATAATAGTTTTTCGTTTCTATTTGAAAAGGCCTGTTATAGATTATGAAATCTAATTGGAAATGAAATATAAAGGAGGCAATTTCATTTTGCTAACATGTAAAACAGAAACACCATAGCATTCATAAAATAAAATTTGGTAATCCTTTTTTTTTTCTTTGACAAAACACTTAGGAAACAATTTCAAAGTAAAATGCCAGTTTACATTTGGGAGATTTTCAGAGATCTAAAAGAATGATACCAACTGGCTAAGTGACCAATAGTGGAGAGGATACTTTAAATGCCACCACCCATAATGAGATTGACCACTATCTTATATGCCATCCTAGAACCGCGATGCAGTGACTGATAGAAGCAGAGGTGAACACCCACAGTTAAACATTGAACTGAACTCCTGGAACCCAGTTGCGGAGAGGTAGGAGTGATGAGCTAAGGGGTCAAGACCTGGCTGGTGAAACTCACAGAGGCAGCTGACTTGAACAAGGGAGGGGCCTTTGGACCCCAGAATGGTGACTGAGAGGCCATCATGGGACTGATCCAGAACCCCTGAATATGGGTGTCAGTGAAGAGGCCTAGGCAATCTATGGGGCCTTGGGCAGTAGACCAGTATTTACCCCTGGCATACAAATGGACTTTGGGAGCCCATTCTACATAGAGAGATGCTCTCTCAGCCTGGACACATGGGGGAGGGCCTAGGCCCTGCCCTGGATGATATGACAGACTTTGAAGAATCCCCAAGGAGGGCCTCAGCCTCCCTGGGGAGTGGAGTGGGGAAGGGGTGGGGGGTTGGGGGGCTGGTGAGGAGCGGGGGGGGGGGGAGGATGAGAGGCTGGGATTGGCATGTAAAGCAAGCTTGTTTCTAATTTAAATAAAATTTAAAAAGAAAAGAAAAATGCCAGTTTAAACTATGAACACTGCTCTGTAAAAGTCACCTTAATTCACTATTTATTGACAAAAGAAGTATTTGCCTGATTTTTGTCTGTAATTATTTCTTCTTTTTTACAGGCTATATACTAACCATATACTACTGGTTTTTTAAATACCTCTTATTTAAATTAGAAACAATCTTATTTTACATATCAATCCCAGTTCCCTCTCCCTCCCATCCTCGTATTCCCCCCACTGACTCCCAGGCCCCCCTCTTTCCCACCCTCATCCACTCCCCAGGGAGAGTGAGGCCTTCTGACAGGGATCACATCAGAGATCCACAAGGATGACCCCCAACTGAGAAGCTAAGCAATAGTGAAGATAGTCGGCTAGTTTTCATCCACTTTCAGTTCACAGCAAACCCCACTTCCCACCCTTGCTGCTTGCTAGACAAAGTGTATTAGAACTGATTCCCATGGAGGGTCCACAAAGTCTGGCACATCACTTTGAGGCAGGACCAAGGCCCTCCTCCCTATATCTAGGCTGAGCAAGGCATCCCTCCAAAGAGAATGGGCTCCAAAAAGCCAGCTCAAGCACTAGGGATAAATCCTGGCCACACTTAACCTCTCTGAGGAGTGGATGGAGGGGTGGGAGAGGGTTGGGGAGAGTAGGAGGAGGGGACGGAACTGGTATTGATATGTACAATGACAGATTTTTTTAAAAATAAAAAAAAGATTAGGAGAGGGGGAAAAAGGGGAGTGGGGAGGAGAACAGCAAAGAACAGGGGAACTGAGACAGGGGAGGAATAAAGGAGGGCAAGAAAGAAGATGTCTTGATAGAGGGAGCCAGTATAGGTTTGGAGAGAGGTCTGGCAAAGGGGAATTGTTCAGGAATCCACAGGGATGACCCCAGCTAAGAATCTGGGCAGTGGTGGAGAGGCTGCCTTTGATGCCCTTCCTCTATAATGAGATTGATGACTACCTTGGTTACCTTCATCCCATAGCTGATGAAAGCAGAAGAAGGCACCCACAGCTAAACACTGAGCCATACTCCTGGAATTCAATTGCAGAGAGGGAAGAGGGATGAACAAAGGAGCCAAGACAGTGCTGGAGAAAATGGCAGAAACAGTTGACCTGACCTAGTGAGAGCAGGGAGTCCCTGGTGGTAAAGCTAGGGAACCAGCATTGGATCAAACCAAGCTCTCTGAATGTGGGTGCCAGCTAGGAGGGCAGGGCAATCTATGGGACCTCTGAGAGTGCAGCCAATGTTTATCCCTAGAGCACAAATGATCTTGGGGAACCCACTCCCTATGGAGGGATACTATTGCAGCCCAGATACAAGAAAGAGGGCCTAGGCCCTGCCCCAAATGATGTGACTGACTTTGATGTACTCCCATGGAGGGCCTCATTATTCTTGGGGAGTGGGTGGGGGTGGGATGAGGTGGGTTGGTGGGAAGCATGGGAGGGTGGGAGGGAGAAGGAATAGGGGATTGATATGTAAAAATATGTGTGTGTATATATTTTTTTAATTTTTTAAATACACACAAAATTGTCAATAAATATTGAAAAAGAGAAGTGATTCTCATATTAACTTCACCAGGCGATAGAGAACAAACTGCTCATTCAGCTGCACATTTACAGGATTTGAACTATACAGAAAGTGTATTTTATGAATATTAAACCAATGAATCTCAAAACATTCCCTAAAATCACATTTCTTTAAGGGAAACTCAGAAATCCTAGCCCTAGATCAGGAAAAGATAAGCACTTGGCTCAAACACAAGGCATTTGGGATAATAAACAGATTTGCTAAATGCTTTTAAAACCTACTTAATATTGTAGGCATTAACTCCAGAAAACTCAACCTTACATCTCTCATTTTGAAAGTAGAGTCATTTCTACCTATGAGCTCTCTGGGCTATGGGATTTTTCTAACATGGTGGGAGGGCTCAGTACAGAGAAAGAGAAGCATGTCTGTCTGGCACTATGGGACTGCATCTTGTTTTTCCATTGCATTTTCACTCTTCTTGGTGGTTGAATGCAGAAAGTCTCAAAAGAATTGCAAACGCAACTTCTACTTCTGAGTCCAGAAGGAAATCAACTAGAGCTGCCTATACAGCAAGCTCAAGAGTACTCATCTATCAGCAATGGCTTTCCTAGACTCCTCTTGGTTTCAGTGAGGCATAGATATAAACAAGGAGTTCCCATAACACCCTGCTCTCAAAACCCAAAGAGAACTGAGGAGGCAGCTGTGTTGAGACTTGGCAAACAAAGGACCCGCATAGCAGAGACCCAATTTGGATTCGCTACAGTGAAATAAAGCAGAGACTGAATTCTTGTAACCCCAAGCCTAGCTAGTTTGCTGGCTAGCAGGCCAAGCCAAGGTAACAGGTGTCCATATCATCTGCAGTACCTACCAGCCCAATAGACAAGGGACAGCATCACGAAACCCAGAGATCAGTACAACTCAGCACCCAGTAATGCCAACTCTTCTGTACCACTCTTATGACTGTAAAATCACCAGCCACTAACTTGAAGGAGAGCCCAGAAGTGGACAGAAGGCTGAAAAATCTGGGAGACTAAGCATGTTTTCCTAAACAGACAGCATTACCTAAAAGGATGGTTATAATTACTGGATTGGATTGAATTTTAAAACGCATAGGGCTCTAAATTTATAAGAAAACCAGAATCGTTATAGACAAAATAATCGAACTGTTTTCCAGGGACATCCAAGTTGCTGTGTTTATGAAGTCAATGTTCCATAACCAACATAATGAATAAAGTTTCTGCAGTGAAAATACCCACCTCCCAAATATATCTTGCTCACCTACAAGATCACTACATGGTATTTGGCTACAAAAGAGGAGCAGATTTTGTGAGTCAAATTCTCTACATGTGATGGCTTTGTTAATTAATAGGCCAAATGGCCAACTTGCTTTTCTTTTTGCTTTTCCATGCATGTATAAAGTAGAGGTATAACTGTATGTTATAATTAGCACATAATATAGTGGATTTCATAATTACATTTTGCACATGTATATTATTGTACTTTGCTCGTGTCTACCTCCATTATTGCCTTCTGTTATTCTTTCCTAGGGATGAGTGATGAGAGTGTGTGTGTGTGTGTGTGTGTGTGTGTATGTGTGTGTGTGTATGTGTGTGTGTGTGTTCAAACAACACTATCACCCCCTTAGGGTTATTTGAGAGAGGGAACAAGTAAGATTGTTTAGATAAACATAAGAGCAATTCATAAACTCACTCATGCCCAAACTTATGCTCTGGGTCTGGATCCTCCAAAGGCCACCAGCTGCCAGCTGA